TTTTTATGATATTGTAAATTAGTTAAATTAGCCTCCCCGCATAAGTAGTACCTAAATTTCCTACTTGACATATGCAACTGTCTTTCGGGCTGCAAAGGCCGTCAACAAGCTAGACAAATGGCCGGAAGCTCACTCCGGGCTGGCTTTGAATTCCAGACCTCTCGGTCAGTAGTGATTTCAATGCAGCTGACTCCCAACCAGCTGCGCCACAACCCGTGGAATGACCTGCCGGAACAGATTCGACAACTACATCAGCTGTTGGACTTTAACACACAGTTTAAGACATCTCTTCTGGTAGTCCTACTTGGTCAATGTTAAATTGTGATTTTTAATCTGAATTTTATTAGTGGATTTTAATTTGTATTTTAACTCTGTGTATATTGGAAGTGTTTTAATAGTGTTTTATCTCTTGTTTTAATTGGGTTGTATCCTGTCTCAAGCCGCAGGGAGAGGCAGGTAATAAATTTATTATTATTATTTTACTGACACAAAAGCACAGTATGTCACAGCAAGCGAGATCTATATGCTGGATTTCGTATCACAAATTCACAAGCTGAACATTTCCCAAGCGTCTAGGACTGTGTGATGTATATATACATTATACATATTATTATTATTATTATTATTATTATTATTATTATTATTATTAGCCGTTCCCTGCCAGGCGTTGCTGTGGCCCAGTCTGGTGATGTGGAAAATAAAGTAATGAGAAAGTGTTGGTTTCTAATATATGTAATTTCTTTATGGCTGTGGGTAAACAGTATTTCTTGTTGTTTCTTTGTCAGTGTTGATGTGGAGAGTGTCTGGTTTGCCTACTCTGGAACATCCAACATATCATAGTCCTTCTTTAGGGGTCCCTTTCAAATCTATGATACTATATCTGTGTGTTGAATCTATATCTATCTATATCTATGGTTGGATGGCTACGTTTTCTTGCCCCGGTGAAGGAAGTTGGACTGGATGGCCTTAAGTATTTTCTGTTGGTCATGTACGGGAAGTTTGCCCCAATTCTGTTGTTTGTGGGATTCAGAGTGCTCTTTGATTGAAGGTGAACTACAAATCCCAATAAGTACAACTCCCAAATGTCAAGGTCGATTTTCGCCAAACTCCATTTGTGTGCATATTTGGGCATATGGAATATTCGTGCCCAGTTTGGTCCAGATTCATCATTGTTTGAGTCCACAGTGCTCTCTGGATGGAGGTGAACTACAACTCCCAAACTCAAGATCAATGCCCACCAAACTCTTCTAGTGTTTTCTTTTGGTCATGGGAGTCCTATGTACCACATTTGGTTCAATTCCATCATTGATGGGGTTCAGAATGCACTTTGATTGTAGGTTAACTATAAATCCCAGCAACTACAACACCCAAATGACAAAACCAATTTTTTGAGTGATGGTCACTGTTTTGGTTAGTAGGCGTTTTGTGGCCAAATTTGGTGTCAATTTGTCCAATGCTTTTTGAGTTATGTTAATCCCGGAAACAAACATTACATTTTTATTTATATAGATTATTATTATTATTATTATTATTATTATTATTATTATTATTCCTTTGGTGCCGGAGACTGATGCAGATTACTACTGTAAGATAAGCTTGTTATACTGGTAAATAATGCAGCAGATGGTACACAGCAAAGAAAACTTCCAGCTTTTTGCTGACGGAGCTCACTCAACAGCTAATTCTGCCAAGACTGTCCCTGGGCAGCAATCCAATTCTCCATTGCTGGCAAAATGGGGGCCCCCTGGGTTGCGATACAGCTCTCTAGATGAAGAGCGTGGAAGATACACTCCAGAGAGCTAAACAGTGCAGAAGCAAATAAAGAAAACAAGTGTGCAAGCACAACCCAATCTGCCTTCCACCCCCCATAGCCATGAGAATTGAAGAAGGCAATTAGCAAAAGAAGTATAGTCAGCCCTCTGCATTCACTGGGGTTCAGGGGACAGGACCCTGTGAATATGAAAAGCTGTGAATTGCTTATTTTTATTACCTAGAAGAACAACTCTCTGGGAAAGTCTAAGGTCCTTTCTACACTGCCATATAAAATCCAGATTATCAGTTTTGGACTGGATTATATGGCATATAATCCAGTTCAAAGCATATAATGCGGATTATCTGATCTGATAATCTGGATTATATGGCAGTGTAGAAGGAGCCTTAGTCTTCCAGCATGACCTCTATTGCTAGCTGAACATAGAATTGTATTGAAGGATGTAGTGATTCCTAGAGAGAAATCTGTAGGTTCTCCAGTGTATTCAGTTAAAGTTGGCCATAGACGCAAACTGGAGGACCCAGAGATTCCTAAATAGAACATCTTTAATCAAATACATTTTAAACCAACATAAACGGACCAGCAGAATGTTGGATAAGCAAAAATGTTGGATAATAAGGAGGGATCAAAGAAAAGCCTATTAAACATCAAATTACATTATGATTTTAAGCACCAAAGCATCATGTTTTACAACAAATCGACAGAAAAAGCAGTTCAATACACAGCAACGTTCTGTAGTAATTACTTTATTTGCAAATTCAGCACCGAAACAGACAATGATTCTTTCTTTCTCAGACCCTGGACATTATTCCACAGGTAAATACACACTCCACTTCCCTCACCTTCAAGAAGTAGCAGCCAATAGTGAAAGGACCAAGGCAGTGACATCTCCAGCTCATCCCTTGTTTGGGTATCACCCAGCACGTCAACGACTTAAATCAAGAAATAGTTTTCTAAGATCTACAAAGACATTTGCTGGAACACCTCAGCAAGCGAGAGTCCAAAAGTGGTGGGCTAAAACCCAGAACCTCAATCAATGGCTGATACCAAATGAGAGACTCCCCCCTGGGCATACAGAAAACTGGGTGACTTGGAAGGCACTGAACAGACTGCGCTCTGGCACCACGAGATGCAGAGCCAACCTTAAGAAATGGGGCCACAAAGTGGAATCCACGAAATGCGAGTGTAGAGAAGAGCAAACCACTGACCACCTACTGCAATGCAACCTGAGCCCTGCTACATGCACAATGGAGGACCTTCTTATAGTAACACCAGAGGCACTCCATGTGGCCAGCTTCTGGTCAAAAAACATTTTATCAACTACCAAGCTTGCAAACTTTGTGGTTTGTTTGTTTGTTTTTGTTTGCTAAAAAATGCAATACAATGTTTGGTTTGCTCCTGACATGATAAATAAATAATCTTCAAGAAACCACTGAAGATGCCATTAGCCACAGATGCAGGCAAAACATCAGGAGAGAATGCTACTAGACCATGGACCTACAACCCAAAAAAACTCACAGCAACCCAATGTATTGTTGATGGCAAGATTTTCTCAAGGTTCCAACTCCACCTGCTCCTTTTCACCACCCTCTGTTTCTTCCAAGAGCTTCTTCTCTATCAACTTTCTATCCCCGTTTTCACTTTTCCGCTTTTCTCCTTTTTGTTCTCAGGCTGGGTGGGGCGTAATGTGGCCGGTACAGGCCAGACGCTGTGCCCAACAGGAAAAGTCTGCACCGGCCATATCTTACCCCTCTCAGCAGGTGCCCGGCACATGGAGAGGCCTGCTGTGTGTTGATGCCTCGAGAAACCACTGTGTATCTCAACAGGAGGCAGATTGCATTGGATAATACAAAATGTTGGATGAGTGAAGGTTGGATAAACAAGACTCTATGTGAATAATCATATCCACAAAAGTCAGAACCACAATTTATAGCTGTCGAGGGACAGCTATAAAGTCACTCCTCCTGTCCATTCTCAGCCTTCACTTTTTGGCAGCCTTGCTCTGCCAAGGTAAAAAGTAAAGGTTTCCCCCTGACATTAAGTCCAGTCGTGTCCGACTCTGGGTTTGGTACTCATCTCCATTCCTAAGCCGAAGAGCCAGCATTGTCCGTAGACACCTCCAAGATCATGTGGCCAGCATGATTGCATGGAGCACCGCTACCTTCTCACCGGAGCGGTACCTATTAATCTACTCACATGTGGGAACATGGCCAGCATGACTGCATGGAGCGCCATTACCTTCTCGCTGAAGTGGTACCTATTAATCATTTTGTTAGTTCTGGTTCTGTTTACCGGTATGTTAATATCGTAAAGGTTTCCTCTGACATTAAGTCTAGCCGTGTCTGACTCTAAGGGGTAGTGCTCATGTGCATTTCTAAGCTGAAGAGCCAGTGTTGTCTGTAGACACCTCCAAGGCCATGCAAGCAGCATGACTGCATGGAGAGCTGTGTTACCTTCTCGCCGGAGCGGTCCCTATTAATCTACTCACATTTGCATGTTTTCGAACTGCTAGGTTGGCAGAAGCTGGGGCTGACAGCGGAAGCTCACGCCGCTCCCCGGATTCAAACCTGCGACCTTTCGGTCAACAAACTCAGCAACTCAGCTGTTTAACCTACTGAGCCACTGCAATATCACTTATACAAATTTACCCTTTCTCTTGCACTTGATAGCTGTTACTGTTTGACCATGACGCTAACAAAGACTCAATCTTGTCTTCTTAACCAAACAGCCTATGCATGAAAGTCAAATAGCCACCTTCAAGAACCTTATACTGAGTGTGAACATAACATAGAGAAGAGGGTACATTGGAAGAAATTTCCAAGTATTCTGTTGGAAAACTCACAAATCCAGCAACTTGTTCATGGAAAAACACTAGATGATACACTCATTTCTACCCAAGTAGAAAAGACCATTTCCTCCCTATAAAGCAAATTCAAGGGGCAGAACAACCTCTTTCTCTCACCATCACCATGACGCAGTCATTTAGCCTCATTTTTGAGCTAAATAAGAAAAAGTAGTATCAAACTGCATTAATTTTATTATAGATACACCCAAAGGGAACGCACAGTATTTGGCACATATCTAGGACTTTTCTGCACCACAGCTAGTTCTCATTGGCCATTTTCAAAGCCAATGGACGAATTCAGCCTTGGACTCACCCATTTTAGCAGTCAAAAGATACATGAATTGCAGCAACCAAAGAAAATTAGAAATAGATGAATGTTCATACCTAGCAGTGCCTGGAATAAACTGCTTTTAAAGATGCCCATCACTTTCTTGACGGCTCTTTTCAGCTGTTGCTCCTCCGGCTTTTTCAACTTCTTACAATAGTCTTCCAGAAGTGCTAAAGCTCGATCCGTGTCTAAAAGAAACAACATTTTTTTAAATGGTTAAAAGACCCACAAAATAGAGAATACTCAAAGTTTTAAGATTGCATTGGTTTTATTATAGTCACTGACTAAACCAGAATATACACAGGTTGCATGTAAACCATACTGAAACTGCTTCTGACTGAATGGTGGAGTATTTATACGATAAGTCATAGCATATCTGTTATGTGCAGAAAGTTTCAGAAAGGTTCAGGTTTCAAAAGACATCCTTTTGCCTGAGACTTTGGGCATCCATTGCAATAATTGAGAACCAGTTATCTGATTTAGTATAAGACACTCTTTGCACAGTCATGTTTCCCTAACTTTGGGTGCATCTACACCAGGCATGGGCAAATTTTGGCCCTCCAGGTGTTTTGGACTTACTGGCTATTAGGAATTGTGGGAGATGAAATCCAAAACATCTGGATGGCCAAAGTTTGCCCATGCCTGTAGAGCAGTGGTTCCCAACCTGTGGTCCATGGACCACGAGTGGACCGCAAGAATTAAAATATGGTCCATAACCTCACCCTTACTACACCATTGCAACAAGAACCACTGGTTTCACAAAACCCTCTTATAGTACCGAGGCTTATTAAATATAGTTTGCTATGAGCGAGCAGATGGCGACTATGGATGGCATATGTTCTGTATCAGAAACTAGAACTGATGTGGTCTATCCAATGCAATTTTCTGAATCAGCACCCCAAATGATCAAACCAAATCTAAAGTTGACCAAAAACTAATACATAACCCTTTTGATACTAATGTTGGAGAGTGGTCCCTGGTCAAAGTAGTCCCTGGTCAAAGGATGAACCACTATTGTAGAGTTAATGCATTTTGACACCATCTTAACTTCCATGGCTCAATGCTGAGCGATTCTGGGATTTCACAGCATGTGTCACCTTAACACCACACTGCCATGCTGCTTTTAAATTGCATTATGTGGTCAGTGTAGAGCAGGGGTTCTCAAACTAAGGCCCCCCAAGGTAATTTACTTGGCCCCTAATCTAAACTTTAGACTTAGGGTCACCCTAAGTCTGAAACAACTTCAATTCACACAACAACAACAACAACAACAACAACAACAACAACAACAATCTGAATTAACTTAGCTTTGGATAGCAGACAAAAATAGCACTTTGGATGTGGAATTCAACTGGAATGATGATATGACTGTTAATACTGTTTTTATTGTTTTTAATTGTTTTTATACTGCTTTGTTATTATGTACATAGAATTGCTGCCAAATGTAAGCCGTCCTGAGTCCCCCTTCGGGGGTTGACAAGGAATGGGGTAGAAATACATAAATAAATAAGTAAAATATCTGATCAGCCAAAATTAGACCCACCATTCCCATTGGAATACTGGTAAGTTTATGTTGGTTAAAATTGTTCATCATTTTAAATACTATATTGATGTTTCATGTTTTTTTGTTTTTGTTTTTTTGTTGTTTTTGGTGGGTTTTTTTTTTTTGCAGTACAAATAATATATCTGCAGTGTGCATAGGAATTTGTCCACGTTTTTCTCAAAATATAGTCCATCCGTCCCCCAAAAGTCTGAGGGACAGTGAACCGGCCATCTGCTTTAAAAGTTTGAGGACCCCTGGTGTAAAGCAAGGGTTCTCAAATTACAGCCCATGGGTCACATCTGGCCTGCCAAGGTCTTTTACCCAATTCCTGCCCTAAACTGTATACTCGCCTCTCCTGCCGCCACCATTTGCACTCACATTTGGACTTTCTTCAAAGTGAGTAAAAATGAGGATGTTGTGGGTTTGTGTATATTATTTCCTCTCTCCCCTTGTTTTTGTCGTTGTTGTACCAATGGTTGATGAGACAACACAGAAGGTGTGGAAGACAGGAGGAGAATGAATGAGAGAGAGGCGGGAGGAAGGTAGGGGGGGGGAGAGAAGGAAGGAAGGAGTGGGGAGAAAGAAGGAACAAGGCAGGGAAAAAAGTAGGGAAGGAGGGATGGAGGAAGGAGGAAAGAAAGAATGACTGAAATAAAGAGAAAGAAAGAGGGAGGGAGGGAGGGAGGGAGGTAGTAAAAAGAGAGGGAAGAGAGTGGAAGAGAGAAGAGGAAGAAAGACAGGTAGCTAGGAAATAGAGAGGGGAGGAGGAAAAGTAAGAGATAAAAGGTATGTAAGAAACAGATTCGTGTATAACGAATACTCTCTTCCAACAACCTAAAAGACGGCTTTACACATGGACCTCTCCAGACGGTCAACACCGAAAGCATGCTCAGTTTCATTCTAAAGCCAGAATGCAGCTAGCATTCTAATGTTTTGTGGGGGGATTAGTCTTCTCATTGAGCTATTATTGAGTTGTTATTATTGGAATTGCCCAATTTAGAATAAAACTAAAGAGATCAGGGAAAATACACAGACCAGTTAGATATGATCTCACTAACATTCCTAGCGAATATACAGTGGAAGTGAAGAACAGATTTGAAGGACTAGATTTAGTAAATAGAGTCCCAGAAGAACTATGGACAGAAGTCCGCGACATTGTTCAGGAGGCGGCAACAAAGTACGTTCCAAAGAAAAAGAAAACCAAGAAGGCAAAATGGTTGTCTGCTGAGACACTGGAAGTAGCCCAAGAAAGGAGTAAAGCAAAAGGAAACAGGGATAAGGGGAGATATGCCCAGTTAAATGCGCAATTCCAGAGGTTAGCCAGAAGAGATAAGGAACTATTTTTAAATAAGCAATGCATGGAAGTGGAAGAAGACAATAGAATAGGAAAGACAAGATACCTCTTCCAAAAAATAGAAATATTGTAGGTAAAATTCAGGCAAAAATGGGCATGATCAAAACCAAAGATGGCAAGGACCTAACAGAAGCTGCAGAAATCAAGAGAAGGTGGTGAGACTATACAGAAGATCTGTATAGGAAAGATAATAATATCGAGGATAGTTTTGATGGTGTGGTGAATGAATTAGAACCAGACATCCTGAGGAGTGAGGTTGAATGGGCCTTAAGAAGCATTGCTAACAACAAGGCAGCAGGAGACGACGGGATCTCAGCTGAACTGTTTAAAATCTTAAAAGATGATGCTGTCAAGGTGATGCATGCCATTTGCCAGCAAATATGGAAAACACAAGAATGGCCATCAGACTGGAAAAAATCAACTTATATTCCCATACCAAAAAAGGGAAATGCGAAAGACTGCTCAAACTTCCGTACAGTGGCCCTTATTTCTCATGCCAGTAAGGTAATGCTCAAGATCCTGCAAGGAAGACTCCAGCAATACATGGAGCGAGAGTTGCCAGATGTTCAAGCTGGGTTTAGAAAAGGCAGAGGAACGAGAGACCAGATTGCCAATATCCGCTGGATAATGGAGAAAGGCAGGGAGTTTCAGAAAAACATCTACTTCTGCTTCATTGACTATTCTAAAGCCTTTGACTGTGTGGATCATATTAAATTGTGGCAAGTTCTTGGTGGGATGGGCATACCAAGCCACCTTGTCTCTCTCCTGAGGAATCTGTATAACGACCAAGTAGCAACAGTAAGAACTGACCACGGAACAACAGACTGGTTCAAGATTGGGAAAGGCGTACGGCAAGGCTGCATACTCTCACCCAACCTTTTCAACTTGTATGCAGAACACATCATGCGATGTGCGGGGCTGGATGAATGCAAAGCTGGGGTGAAAATTGCTGGAAGAAACATTAACACCTCAGATACGCAGATGACACCACTCTGATGGCCGAAAGCGAGGAGGAGCTGAGGAGCCTTCTAATCAAGGTGAAAGAAGAAAGCGCAAAAGCCGGGTTGCAGCTAAACATCAAAAAAACCAAGATTATGGCAACAAGAATGATTGACAACTGGAAAATAGAGGGAGAAACCGTGGAGGCCGTGACAGACTTTGTATTTCTAGGTGCAAAGATTACTGCAGATGCAGACTGTGGCCAGGAAATCAGAAGTCGCTTACTTCTTGGGAGGAGAGCAATGTCCAATCTCGATAAAATAGTAAAGAGTACAGACATCACACTGGCAACAAAGATCCGCATAGTCAAAGCCATGGTATTCCCTGTAGTAACCAATGGATGTGAGAGCTGGACCTTAGGGAAGGCTGAGCGAAGGAAGATCGATGCTTTTGAGCTGTGGTGTTGGAGGAAAGTTCTGAGAGTGCCTTGGACTGCGAGAAGACCCAACCAGTCCATCCTCCAAAAAATAAAGCCCGACTGCTCATTGGAGGGAAAGATACTAGAGACAAAGTTGAAGTACTTTGGCCACATCATGAGGAGACAGCAAAGCCTAGAGAAGACAATTATGCTGGGGAAGGTGGAAGGCAAAAGGAAGAGGGGCCGACCAAGGGCAAGATGGATGAAGTGACTGGACTGACCCTGAAGGAGCTGGGGGTGGTGACGGCCGACAGGGAACTCTGGCGTGGGCTGGTCCATGAGGTCACAAAGAGTCGGAGACGACTGAACGAATGAACAACAAGAAACAGAAAGGGGGGATTTGAGGACACCTGGTGTAGAGCAGCATTTCTCAACCTGGGGATTGGGACCCCTGGGAGGGTTGTAAGGGAGTGTCAAAGGGGTCTCCAAACACCATCAGTAAGCACAGTATTTTTCTGGGTTGTTGTAGGTTTTTCGGGCTATATGGCCATGTTCTAGAAGCATTCTCTCCTGACGTTTCACCTGCATCTATGGCAAGCATCCTCAGAGGTTGTGAGGTCTTTCTGGGTTCTGTGGGGATGAATATAATCAGGTATTGTAAACACAATCACAGTTTAAGTCCCAGTATGCTCATCAAGGTGGCCAATGGAAGCATTCACACCTATCTCCAACAGACAACAGTTCTTTCTCCCACTCTGGACATTACACAGATATATAAACCCCATTTTCCTAGTTTCCAACAGACCTCACTACCTCTGAGGATGCTTGCCATAGATGCAGGAGAAACATCAGGAGAGAATGCTTCTAGAACATGGCCATATAGCCCGAAAAACCTACAACAACTCAGTGATTCCAGCCATGAAAGCCTTCGACA